GGAGTGAGCGAGGACTGAATAGCACCCAGAATAGCCTGGTCCTGGGTGATCCACCGACGATGAGCAGGGTTGAACACCATGACAGAACCACTAGCAGCTGAGGGCACCGGAACCGTGGCCGGCGGACATGGCAGCATACCATCGGCATACCCCTCAAGGTAGTGACTATGCATCAGCGGCAATACCTGAGCGCGCCACAGGAGGTAGTTATCAGCAGAGAGCTTCACCGTCACCAAATGAGCAAAGTGGAACGGTCCTGTTTCGAACACTGATGCGGGAAGCTGCGAGTCATACGTCGAAGGGGCACTGTATGGAACCAGCGCATCGGCCGACGGAGGCAGCACACGGGAATGTTGGTGATGACCGTAGGGCTGCACAGAGGGCACACCGTAGGACTGCAGAGGTGGCGCGGTGTGCTGATACGTCTCCAACGTATCTATAATTTTTGATTGCTCCATGCTACTTTATCTACTGTTTTAGGCAATATTGGGCTTTATTATCCACTTTTATATTATTTTTGGGACTAACCTATTAACCGGAGGCCCAACCCAGATTTGATGTTTTATGCCTATTTCAGTGTTTCGAGGAAAAAGAATATCAGACGGAGTCAAAACATAACGAAATCAACAGGAGAAGTTATTTTTGGAAGGAAATCCACCCGATGGACTTGGAGTGCACGTCAGGGAAGAAGGGAGGTGCCCATGAGGGTGGGGGGCGCGCCCCCTGCCTCGTGGCCCCCCTTCGGTCCACCGACGTACTTCTTTCACCCATATATACCTACGTACCCTAAAAACTTCCACGGAGAAGATAGATCGGGAGTTCCGCCGCTGCAAGCCTCTGTAGCCACCAAAAACCTCTCGGGAGCCCGTTCCGACACCCTGCCGGAGGGGGAACCCATCACCGGTGGCCATCTTCATCATCCCGGCGCTATCCATGACGAGGAGGGAGTAGTTCACCCTCGGGGCTGAGGGTATGTACCAGTAGCTATGTGTTTGATCTCTCTCCCTCGTGTTCTCTCTCGTGTTCCCTCTATGGCACGATCTTGATGTATCCCGAGCTTTGCTATTGTAGTTGGATCTTATGATGTTTCTCCCTCTCTACTTTCTTGTGATGAATTGAGTTTCCCCTTTGAAGTTATTTTATCGGATTGAGTCTTTTATGAGAACATTTGATGTATGTCTTGCGTGGGATAACCGTGGTGGCAATGGGTTATTTTATTGATCCACTTGATGTATGTTTTGGTGATCAACTTGCGGGTTTCGTGACATTGGGAACCTATGCATAGGGGTTGGCACACGTTTTTGACTCTCCGGTAGAAACTTTGGGGCACTCTTTGAAGTACTTTATGTTGGTTGGATGAATCTGAGATTGTGTGATGCATATCGTATAATCATGCCCACGAATACTTGAGGTGACAATGGAGTATCTAGGTGACATTAGGGTTTTGGTTGATTTGTGTCTTAAGGTGTTATTCTAGTACGAACTCTTTTATAGATCGATCCAAAAGAATAACTTTGAGGTGGTTTCGTACCCTACCATAATCTCTATGTTTGTTCTCCGCTATTAGTGGCTTTGGAGTGTCTCTTTGTAGCATGTTGAGGGCTTGTTATATGATCTATCTATGTTATTATTGTTGAGAGAACTTGCACTAGTGAAAGTATGAACCCTATGCCTTGTTTCCTATCATTGCAATACCGTTTAAACTCACTTTTATCGCTTGTTACCTTGCTGTTTTTATTATTTCAGATTACGAAAACCTTTATCTACTATCTATTTTGCACTTGTATCACCATCTCTTCGCCGAACTAGTGCACCTATACAATTTACCATTGTATTGGGTGTGTTGGGGACACAAGAGACTCTTTGTTATTTGGTTGCAGGGTTGTTTGAGAGAGACCATCTTCATCCTACGCCTCCTACGGATTGATAAACCTTAGGTCATCCACTTGAGGGAAATTCGCTACTGTCCTACAAACCTGTGCACTTGCAGGCCCAACAACGTCTATAAGAAGAAGGCTGTGTAGTAGACATCAGTGCGACCCAGGAGTTGCGTAGGGTGCGCCATACGGTGCCTCACTGGGTACCACGGGAGACAACGCATACGGCGTCGAGGACTGAGCGACGTACGGCGCGGGGTATACCCCGCCGTAGGGCTGCTGGACAGGGGCACCGTAGAGGCCCAGAGCGTCGTATGGGTGCTGAACAGGAGCGCCGTAGGGTTGCTGTGGAGGGGCGCCGTAGAGGCCAGTAGCCGGCGGCGCATCGCGGGATTGGCTTGGGGCAGCGCCGTAGGGACTAGCAGCCGGCGGCGCATCACGGGATTGGCCCGGGGCAGCGCCGTAGTGCACCGGGGGGACGATCGGGGCACCATAGGAGGGTGCGGGAGACCGAGCCGATGCAGATGGATCGAGTGTTGGAGATTGGGACGGCGCTGTCGGGCGCGAGTCCGAGGCTGCCTGTCGAGCCCAGGCGAGCGGTGTGGACGCCATGAAGGGCGAGTCCGTTGCTAGGGTCGAGGGAGGCGGGACGGCGGAGGAGGCCGACGCGGCGGCGACAGCAGAGGAGGCGGAAGCGCGGCGCGAATCAAACGCGTCGTCTGATACCATGTTAGACAGATTAGGGTTTGGAACAATGCTCGATACCCTTGATGGGTACGACTGTCATATATTTATAAGAGGGAACCGTACAAATACAGATTATGTTACAACACGTATATCTAATATATACTTAGTCTAACAATAGTGATGCCGCGAAGACGGCGCCAAACGCCGACGTACTGAACAGTGGCATCTGGACCTAGGCTGCCACCAATTCAGGAAACCAAGGTTGGGAGTTCAGAGCCTCCGAGACAAAGTGCCGCTTCCGCCAGCGTCGAGGTACGATGGAAGTACTCCCACCGTTCCAAATTACTTGTCATGGTTTTAGTTCAAATATGAACTAAAACCACGACAAGTAATTTGGAACGGAGGAAGTAAGTGCTAGTGCAATCTCGACAATGGAAGCTCCGTCGAGCCAGTGACCAAACCAGAATTTGCAAGTTCGCCCATCGACGAGGGTATAAGAAGTGGAGGCGCGGAATATTTGCCGAATCTCGGGCTTGCATGGCGGTGGTAAGTCCCGTCACGGGCGCTATGGGTCAGTCGCGAGAAGCCAGAGCCAACGCACGGCATCGCAAATATCGATGCGTTGCCAGTCGCGGATGCCAATTCCAGTGAGTTTGTACAATCTGGAAAACCTCAATGAATTCAAACAATGCTTATTCAAATGTTTCAACTCGGCATAAAATCTATTGTGTTCATTTATACTCTTGTGTTCCCGTCAAACTTTATATTTTCTACCTATATTATCCAAGCATTTTCCTTCGCTTATGATGTAAGACAGTTTGATGTGTGCTAGATTACTCGTGGGTATGCAGCGGCGACCGCTAGGCGCCGGCGTGCCCGCCGAACCATTCCGGCCGGTCGCACGCTAGCCATCGGATTGGCCCGTCCCACCCCAAGTCATCTTCTTCCCTTCACAGCCACACACGCTCCCTAGGTGCCGTCTTCGTCGCTGGTCCCCATCCTCGCCGGCCGTCCTCGTCGCTGCCACTCGCCTCCCTGTTGGTTCCAGCAGTGCGCCGTCGAAGCATCCAGTCGTCGTCCTCATAGAAACGTTTGTCATTTGTAGAACGCCTGATGCCTTCATCCTTGCATCAACTAGTCACCGCCGTCGTAACACGTCCGTCGTAGCACCACCATGCCGCCGGTCGTAGCTTCCGGCGTCGCCACTCATACCATCGTCGATAGACGGCGCCGGTTTTTGAAGATTTATGGTGGAAGCCTTTTCTACCCCGGTTGAAGCTTTTTGCTATATGGTTGAAACTTTCCCGATTCCGATCGAAGCTCTTTTCACACGGGTTGAAGCTTTTCTTGAAACTGATTGAAGCTTTTCTCCACGTTTGAAGCTTTTCCTCTACGCTGGTTGTAGCTTTTTTTCATGGTTGAAGCTTTTTCTATGCTGGTTGAAGGTTTTTTCTACGCTGGTTGTAGCAATCGCGGCGCCATCCCCTGTCATCGCCCCAGCACCAGTCCGTCGATGTATCAAAAAAATACACCAGTTCCAGCTTCTAGTTTGTTTGTTGCAGCAAACGAGATTACCGGTTGTAGCTCCTCCTGCTGCAGGTTCCAGCAACGGCGCCAACAACTTGTAGCACCCGCGGTGGCCAGTTCCAGCATTTTGTGACGTGGTTTGTAGCAATCGCAGGGGCCGGTTCGAGCAGCGGTGTGTGACGATTCCATAACATCGACGGGGACGGGAAAGGTAGCACTAATGGTGGGCGTTCCAACACCTTCATGGTTGGATGTAACTTCTGCAGGAGGCGCCCCCAGCAAAAACCTCCCCACTGATAGCAGCTCGTCCATGGCACACACAAAAACCACCTTCCTAGATGGCTCAAATACGGCCATGGCCTGGGCCCAGTAGATGAATCCGGCCATGGAGCTTGTAGCAGCAAGGCAGCGCCGCACGGTGATCTATTTTGGATGGTCCTTGCCGTGATTTGCTGCGGGGAGGAGGGCGAAGGATGGCGCGGTCGCAGAAAAGAGAACGGAGATGAGATGCGGACAGTGGAGAAAGAAGTGGAGCCCTGACGTGTGGCACGCGTGCGTGCGACCGGTGAAACATTTCAGCCGGTGCACCGGCCATACATGTTTCCCTTGAATTTACCGTATTTAATAATGAAGACTCATCTATGGTGCATGTTGCTTCGAGGGCAACGGGCGACAAGCCGCACCACCTATCTAGTACTACCTCGGTCTCAAAATATGAATGAACACCGTATGAGGACTCCGTATGAATGTACACCATAATGGCTTGCTGACAGGTGACGCGATGAAATCGATCTCTACAGTTGGTAGGAACGATCAATAGCTGGGTTTGATAAATGTGCATTTATACCGGCATTTCCATCTCAGTGTTTGGCAACGTGGGGTGCAGAGCTCTCTTCCGTTTCCCCCCACATGCATTGCCATGCTCGAATGAAGCGTAACAATGGAGCTCGTGGCGCAAACAGTCCGCCTCAAATCTTGCATGCCGTTGCTATATTAGGCGCATCCACACCACGCATGCACAAGTTTGGGACAAGAAGCATATCGATCTCTCCCTGTCCTTCCTCTCTAGCTTTTGCTTCTTCTCCGATGATGGGTTATCCGGGGCGCTTGGCCGCCCTCCTCCTCGTGGCCGCCACCGCCACGGCCGTCGTTGCCCACAACGACCACGGCGAACACAAGAACTACCTCGTCATCGTGCGCACGCCGTACGAGTACGACCGGAACCTGTACAAGAACGTGTCGAGCTGGCACGCCTCGCTGCTGGCGTCCGTGTGCGACCAGGCCAAGGAGCAGCTCGACGCGGACCCGGGCGCCGCGGAGCGCCTCATCTACTCCTACCGCAACGTCATCAATGGCTTCGCCGCCCGCCTCACCCCCGACGAGCTGCACCATATGGGCGAGAAGGACTGGTTCCTCAAGGCCTTGCCGGAGCAGACCTACCAGCTCACGACCACGCACACGCCACGGATGCTCGGGCTCACCGGCCCCTTGTTCCACGCCGGCTTGTGGAACAGGACCAACAACATGGGGGAGGGGATGATCATCGGCATCCTCGACGGCGGCATCGCCGGCGCGCACCCGTCGTTCGACGGCACCGGCATGCCGCCGCCGCCCGCCAAGTGGAAGGGCCGCTGCGACTTCAACCGCTCCGTGTGCAACAACAAGCTCATCGGCGCGCGTTCCTTCTACGAGTCGGCCAAGTGGAGGTGGGAAGGGATCGACGACCCGGTCCTGCCTATCGACGACAGCGCGCACGGGACGCACGTGTCGAGCACGGCGGTCGGCGCGTTCGTGCCGGGAGCCAACGCCATGGGCAGCGGCTTCGGCACGGCGGCCGGCATGGCGCCCCGCGCGCACCTGGCCTTCTACCAGGTGTGCTTCGTGGGCAAGGGCTGCGACCGCGACGACATACTCGCGGCGATCGACGACGCCCTCGACGAGGGCATCGACGTGCTCTCCATGTCGCTCGGCGCTGATGACGCCGGAGACTTCGCCGCCGACCCCATTGCGCTGGGGGGATTCAGCAGCGTCATGAGAGGCGTCTTTGTCTGCACATCGGCTGGGAACCAAGGCCCGTCCCCGGCGACAGTTGCCAACGAGGCCCCGTGGCTGCTCACCGTGGCTGCGGCCACAACTGACCGGACTTTCTCTGCGGACGTCAAGTTTGGCAATGGGCTTGTGATCAACGGCGAATCGCACTACCAGCCGAGCACCTACGTGAGCGTGCAGCAGCCGTTGGTGAGGGACACTGCCGCCGACGGCACGTGCTCGGACAAGACCGTCCTGACGGCCCAGCATGTCGCCGGAAAGATAGTCCTTTGCATCTCCGGCGGCAACCTGACCAACCTCGAGAAGGGAAGCATCCTGCACGACGCCGGCGCTATCGCCATGATCATCGTTCTACCGGAGGACGTTGGTTCGGTGATCTCACCCAAGGCGCATGCCCTCCCAGCAACGCAAGTAGAAGCCAAGTGGTCGGAGAAGATCATGGCGTACGTGAATTCCACGCAGAGCCCCACCGCTCAGCTGGTCTTCAGAGGGGCGGTGCTCGGCAACCGCATGGCGCCGGTCGTGGCGCCATTCTCGTCACGAGGCCCGAGCAGGCAAAACCAGGGGATCCTCAAGCCCGACATCACCGGCCCGGGAGTGAACATCATCGCCGCCGTCCCCATGCCCAACGGGCTCGCCCAGCCGCCCAACGAGATGGCGTACAAGTTCGACATCATGTCCGGCACGTCCATGTCCACGCCGCACATCAGCGGGGTCGCCGTGCTGATCAAGAAAGCGCACCCGACCTGGTCTCCGGCGGCCATAAAGTCGGCCATGATGACGACGACCGACACGAGGGACGGCCGCCGGCTGCCGATGCTGGACCAGGACGGGCTGCCGGCCAACTTGATTTCGATGGGCGCCGGCTTCATCAACCCCACCAGAGCCATGAATCCCGGGCTCGTGTACAACCAAAGCGCCCATGACTACATCCCGTACCTGTGCGGGCTCGGCTACAACGACCACGAGGTGAGCTCGATCATCCACCCGGCGCCGCCGCTGTCGTGCAAGCAGCTGCCGGTGATCCACCAGAAGGACCTCAACTACCCGTCCATCACCGTCTACCTTGACAAGGAGCCCTACGCCGTGAACGTCAGCCGCGCCCTCACAAACGTCGACAACGACGTAGGGGTGTACGCCGCGTCCGTCGAGCTCCCGCCGTCGCTGTCGGCGAAGGTGACGCCGGACATACTCGGGTTCAGGGACGTGAACCAGGTGCAGACATTCACGGTGACCATCAGGACCAAGGACGGTCAGAAGATGAAGGAGCGCATCGCGGAAGGGCAGCTCAAGTGGGTCTCGCGCAAGCACGTCGTGCGTAGCCCCATCCTCGTATCTTCCAAGAAGTTCTTCAAAGAAAACTCGATGGCTAATAATGGCCAGCGCGTGGGTGATTCGTAGTAGTAGCTCGCGGGCATGTCGTGGTTACTTCATTAGCATTTAGCTTCGATCTGAAGGTCGGTGGGTTTGTAAGCAGTAGACGCGTGGTGTGTATGCTACAAAATGGATGAATTGCCTTGGTAAAGTTCTGGCAAAACTCTACTTAGGATACGCAGGGGGTCCAGATCGTGGGAAGGCGGCACGGGCGACTCCGGGTTCTCCAGGAGCGGCTAGGGTTCATCTTGAAGAAGCCCTGGGAAAGCTTGGCATCACGGATGAGGAGGCCACTCCTTTAATCCTAGATGATCGTGAGGACGAGACTCCGACGAAGTGGCTGCTTGCGGGGAAGGTGCTGCATCGAAACCTACTTCATATCCAAACGATAGGTAATGCCCTTCGCCCGGCTTGGGGTAATCCCCGAGGTCTGCAGTTCCGATCTATGGGGGATAATATGTTTGTGGTGGAGCTGGAATCGAAGCGGGACAGAGAGAGAATCTGGGCAGGCTCACCATGGCATGTTAGCAACCACGCGGTGATCCTTGCTGATTTCGAGGATTGCATGCGTCCAGATGAAGTAAAATTTGACCGGCTACATCTTTGGGCACGGGTCATGAATCTCCCTTACAATCTCAGAGATGATGCATGGGGATTTGACATCGCAAAACAGATAGATAAAGGAGCCACATCAGTGCAGTTTGATCATATGGCGGGCTATCTGCATGCGCGAGTCTCAATTGATGTGAGCAAGCCACTAAGGAGATGGATCTTGATTGATTCAGCAAAAAGAAAGAGACAAGATCTATATGATATTCAGTATGAGAATGTCCCACATTTTTGTTTCTTGTGTGGCTGTTTAGGGCACTCAGATCTCTATTGCCCTACTCCGGGAAAGAGGGACACCCATGGAAATCTTCCTTTCGGGTCTAGCTTGCGGGCCTCGGATGAACGGAAGAAAACTCCATCAAATGACAGCTCGAGTAAACAAGGTACTGCTGCCAATCAAAGCAAGAGGGAGTCTAAAAACTCAAGTAATGTTGGTGCTAGCAAAACCACCCCCGAGGTAAACTCTCCGGTCAAGAATCGCCCTATCAAGAGGAAGGAGGTACCGCGGCAGGAATATAGGAGGGTTGATGGCCCGCTCCTACTAATGGACTCGGGTGCAGAAAAAACGGATCTTGGTACGTCCTCGCTGCACCCTGAGGAACACATGGATGAACGCAACGATGAGGATGGAAGGAAGAAGAAGAAACCCACCCCAGAAAACTCGGCAGAGGCTGCGGGACAGCCCTGCCCGTCCAAATGAATTGCATAAGCTGGAACTGCCGGGGGCTTGGGAACCCAGCGGCAGTTCGCGAGCTTCGCAGTATTGTGAAGCAAGAAGGTCCTGCCCTTGTGTTTATCATGGAAACAAAGATAAGGGCGAAGAAAGTAGAGAATCTGCGAAATACTTTGGGATTTGCAGGATGTTTTGCGGTCGACAGTAATGGTCTCAGTGGCGGTGTGGGACTGTTTTGGTCGAGTGAAGTTTCAGTTGAACTGAAAAACTTTAGTGTGAGCCACATCGATGTGGTTGTCACAAAGATCGGTCTTGATTCTCCTGGTTGGAGATTCACTGGTTTCTATGGAGCTCCAAGAGCAGAAAACCGTCATCATAGCTGGCGCTTCATGGAAACTCTTTATGGAATTGAACATCAAGCATGGATATGTGCTGGCGATTTCAATGAAACATTTTATGGCACCGAACACTTCAGTCGTGCTGCACGGCCGGAGTGGCAAATGCGAGCCTTTCGCGAGGTCGTCGAGGAGTGTGCCCTCCAGGACCTTGGATGGGCCGGAGTGGAATATACATGGGATAACATGCAGCAAGGTGAGGCAAACGTCAAAGCTCGCCTCGACATGGCTCTAGTCAATTCAGCAATGCTAACTCTTTTTGAGGAGTCCAGGGTTAGACATGTTAGTTCCGTAGAGTCAGATCACTGTTTTCTTGTAATTGAATTGCGCGAGCTCAATAACCATAAATACAAGGAAAAAGTGAAACAGTTTCGGTATGAGAATGTGTGGCAATCACATGCTGATTATGATGACCTTGTTAGTGAATCATGGCAGCGGCTACATCAAGGGCAAGGTCTCGCAGGGATCGCATGCACTCTTTCCAAGATGCAGGGCGAGCTGGGAGCATGGGGCGCAAGGGAGTTTGGCAATCTCTCAAAAATAGTAAGGAAACTGCAAAAAAGCTAGAAAGCTTGCGCCGACATGCAGTTGGCAGAGGGCCCTCGGCGGAGGAGCTGGCAACAGCCCAGAAACTTAGAGAAGCCCCCAGGCAAGAAGAAACTTGGATGCGGCAGCGTTCAAGAATTCGCTGGTTACGCGCAGGTGATCGCAATACAGCTCACTTTCAAGCTCAGGCAAAGCAACGGAAACGTATGAACCGTATAGTTGGTCTGAAGCGGCTAGACGGATCTGTATGTGTGGACTCTGAGGAGGATAAGGTGGAAGTCCAAGAGTTCTATCAATAACTTTATACTTCGCAGGGTTTTCAGAACATGGACGGTCTGATACAGTTTGTGCCAGAACGGGTTACTCCGATTATGAATGATGATCTTCAGCGACCTTTTGAGGCTGCTGAAGTACGCACGGCGCTGTTTCAAATGGCCCCGTCCAAAGCACATGGAATTGACGGTTTCACTGCGGGGGTTTTTCAGCGACACTGGTCGGTTGTTGAGAAAGACTAAGTGCCGGCTGTGTTAGATTTTTTGAATGGTGGGGAGCTTCCTATGGGCCTTAATGACACTTCTATCACGCTGATCCCTAAGGTACGACACCCCCAATCCATCACCCAATATCGTCCCATATCTCTATGTCCAGTTCCCTACAAGATTGATGCTAAAGCGATTAAAAACCGCATGAAACCGTGGATAGACTCAATAGTGGGAGAGGAACAAAGTGCGTTTGTACCAGGCAGGTTGATAACTGACAACGTACTGGTAGCATTCGAGAGTATTCACTCAATGAAAAGGAGGAAGAAAGGGAAAAATTTCTCATGTGCTATTAAGTTAGACATGATGAAAGCGTACGACCGTGTGGAGTGGCATTACTTGGAGGCTATGCTTCTCAGACTGGGTTTTGGCCACGAGTTTGTTCGACTGATTATGAAGTGTGTGATGTCAGTCAGATTCACTGTCAGAATGAATGGTGAGTTGCTTCCCTTCTTCACACCCTCCCGGGGTTTGAGACAGGGATGTCCGGCATCCCCCTTCCTGTTTCTGCTATGTGCAGAAGGACTCACCTCTCTGCTGAACTATTATGGTGGCAATTTTATCGACAGAGGGATTCGGGTCTCGTACAGATCGCCATGGGTAAATCATCTTCTGTTTGCTGACGATAGCTTGATTTTCATCAGTGCAACGGAGGAAAGTGCAGACAGATTGAAGCAAATTCTGCAAATTTATGCTGCTTGTTCGGGCCAAAGTGTCAATAAAGACAAGAGCTCTGTTTTATTCACAACAAATTCTCCCACCGATGTCCGAAATAGAATTAAACAAAGACTTGGCATTACGGTGGAGGCTTTTAGTGAGAGATATCTTGGTCTGCCCACAGCTGTGGGGAGGATTACCAGCGACACGTTCGATCACATTGGTGAAAGAGCCCGCGGAAGTATGAATGGGTGGTCAGAGCGCAACTTTGCATGCGCAGGGCGGGAGATCCTGCTCAAATCCATCGTCCAAGCCATCCCTACTTTCAGCATGTCATGCTTTCGACTCACAAAGAAGGTATGTAAGAAGTATACTTCCAATATGGCCAAATATTGGTGGAGTAGCTCCCTGGACAAAAGATCTTTGCACTGGATCTCTTGGAAAGCGCTCGCATCGCCAAAAGCTCAGGGGGGAATGGGATTTCGTGACATGGGGCTGTTTAACCTCGCACTTCTTGGGAAGCATGGGTGGAGGTTCATGGTTAGCCCGGATTCTTTATGCGCCCGAGTATTGAAGGGCCGCTACTTTCCAGATGCAGATTTTATGCACGCCACAGTGCCGAAGACAGCTTCCCCAGTTTGGCGGGCAATTGTGGCGGGGCGCGAGGCACTTCAGGCGGGTTTGATCATGCGGGTTGGTAATGGAAGATCTATCTCTATTTGGGAGGATAAGTGGATTCCAGGTACCATTAGCATGTCTCCTATGTCCATTATTACTCCGACCACTTTGATTACTGTCAATGAGCTCATTGATGAAGGAAACTGGACATGGAAGACGGATCTTGTTCGACAAAATTTTCTTGCTCCGGATGCAGATGCTATTTTGAACATACCATTGCGCACTGGAGGTGGGGATGATTTCTTTGCATGGGCTTTTGAAAACTCAGGTGTGTACACTGTCAAGTCGGCGTACCGTGCTCTCGTGACTCAGAAAGAGCGTAAAGCTCTAGAAGAAGGGACGGTTACTGGTGCCTCAAAATCTGAACAACAGATGTGGACATCTCTGTGGAAGCTCAAAGTTGTGCCTAAGGTCAGAGTTTTTTGGTGGAGAGTTCTACGCGGGATCCTCCCCGACGAAGCAACCCTTAAGCACAAACATATTAAACCTATAATCCTATGCAATGTATGCTTGGCAAAAGAGGAGGGTCTTCTGCATGCACTGGTGACTTGCTCCCATGCATGCAGGTTTTGGGATGAAGCGCAAACATGGCTCGATGTTCGACTTCCACGTCTACATCCAACAACATGGGCGCGTGACATCTTATGTGATGACCGTTTTTCGGATCATACGAGAGGATAGATTGTGTTGGTGATGTGGGCTATCTGGCATTCGCGGAATCGATGGATTCATGAGAAGGAGCATGTGGATCCAGTGTACTCCACTCGACGCATTCGTGAGGACTTGGCCTTGTTGGATATCCCGATGAAGCAGGCCACAATGCTGCCAGGTCATGGCTGGCACCCCCCAGAAGCAGGTGTTGTTAAGATTAATGTTGATGGTGCAATCAACTCTGAAGCAGGACTAGCCGGAGCGGGCGGTGTAGCTCGC